AAAGTGAAAAAATACACTTTTTCCTTTGTGCGAGAATTTTTATTAAAACGCAATTAGAATTAAAATATCCAAAAATAAGAATGGAGTTAAACATTGGAAAACATTCTACGTATAATATTTCCTATATCAGACATCAGATAATCGTATCGTGGACAGTTATGAAAAAAGTACCATAATGTGGATTGGATATATATGTATGTATATATATATATATACATATATATACGTATGATATAATAGGACATGGTTTTTCCTATCTATAAGTAGTTTATTTCTACATACTATATCCATCAAATTTTAAATCATTTTTTTCTCCACCTGAATGATGCCTGAATATTATAATATACGTATATTTTTAACACTTGTTATCTCTTGCAGAATAGTATATGGTCAAAATACGTATATAAAAATATATTTGTATAAGAAGAAGAAGAAGAAGAAGAAGAAGAAGAAAAGGAAATATTGTCAAATTGTGATTAAAAGTGGAAGTATGTTAACAGATAGATTTCGAAACGAGGAGAACTCGAGAATTATTAACGTCACATTTATAATAATTGATTGAAATAAGCCAGGAAACATTTAAAGTTTATCTTTCGGTATGTTCATTGTGTTTTCTTTCTTTCTTTCTTTTTTTTCCAACGAACTGAAAACCTTACATTATTGATTTTCAGTGGGGCACGTGTCAAAGCACGTGCTCGAAAACAGACGTTGCACAATTGATTCTGATCGTTACATAATAATAATAAATACATTTTGGATCGAGTATTCTTAAAATTTTATGAAATTTGCATATTATCGGTCGTATTGAACAAATATTCAAAAAAAAAACAAATCGTTTACATATAATTTGTATAAGATTTCAATCAACAACAATTTCCAATATGAGCATTGAACCACCGTGGATGTTGAAGTGAATCGCATCAAAATTGTTGCATAGATTACCTGAGAAATCAGTTTTTCTTATTCAAGATATCCTCTAATAAAACGAAGAATATTTTAATCCCATGGCTCGAAAAACCACGTTCTAACGGAATTTATACGAAGGAAGATTCAGATGGAGAAAAGAGTACGTTTAAAGATGTTCAGGAAGAGTAAACGACCTTCGAATCTATTGCTCCATGCAAAGATGAAAGTTAAGATGAACAAAATCATCGCGAAAATTACACGATTATACAAATTATTACGAGAAAGTAACGGAATCAGGTCAATTCTAATCAAGAAAGCCTTACTGCGGATAAGAAAGAGAAGAGAATTTTTCTAACGTGGGATATTCCAAAAATTCCCCAATAGTCGTATACAATAATAATAATAATGTATTACTCTCTCACAGCTCACCTGTTTACCGATGTAAGATTCCAAGCTGCCGTATTGTGAAATCAGACCGGTTTTCAGGGATGTCACGTTCGACAGTTTGATTCTGCATTCGTATCTCGATCGATCTGTTTAAAAGTTTCCGAAAAAGAAAAATTTCTTTTCTCCCCAAGTAACCGTGTAAAATAAAGAGTAAAGTTAGACTTACTGTTGTAGATTTTCGTGCCATTCCTGCATGAGCATGGCCGCCGTGCCACTTCCTCGTGTGGACATTGTATTACACAATCCTCCGTTCTGCACTCTGCGAACGAGAATTGATTTCGTGAAATATCGACTCCACAGATCGATATGATACGCGAATCGAAACCTACCTTCCATACTGTTCATCAGATGGATCTGGCAATTACGACCGACGTAGTCATCGGCGCATTCGCAGGTCATTGCTTTCGCTCCAATTTGTCTGCAAAACAAGGATATTTATTTTACGATTCTCTTTTCGATAAAAAAACGAGAGAGATGCCTTCGTACTTGCAAACGCCTCCATTTTGACAAACAGGATTCTTCGTATCGTCAGAGCAGAGAGGTCCTTCGTTACAATTTTTTCCACCGAAGCCCTCGAAACAGTCGCACCAAAAATTCCTGCGGCATGGCAAATTCCGTGTTAGATTTCCACATACTAGACTACGGGAGGAATAATTTAGTGAAACAGCGATCGTTAATGAACTGATACGATATCTTTTCAAACCGCCCGATCAATATCTATCTTTCGCGCGGAAAATTTCCAAACTTATTTCCTACGAATTTTTATTGCATATTGGCGATAAAGTCAAACTAAAGAAATTTTTCGAGAAAGTGTCTGTAAACATTTCCCTGAATGTACATCTCCCGAATGATAAAAGATAAGAAAAACCGGCATTATTTATTACAACACACAAAAGATTCGCATCCCGTTCGCAAATCGATATTTCCCCTTCTTTCCTGGACTCACGTATAATCCGCGAAACAATTGCCCGTGTAGGAGCAATGGTGGACGGAGCAGGAATCCGGATTGGGCACGTCCTCGGTCATCTGATACGTGACGTTGAACCCGTACACGTTCAACAAATTGTTGAGAACGCGTACGTGATTGCCCTCGAGGCGATCCAGCTCGAACTCGATGACAAGGAACGGCCTGAACGTCCTCACGAGCCTGTACTCGAACACGTTCCCCTCGGTGATCTCCTTTATCAACGTGGCGCCAAAATTCACGCCCTCCGACTCGTAATAGGCGTACTCGGTGAACCTGAGCCCCTTGTACGCATAAACCTGCGTCAAGTACACGACGATGGAGCTATTCGTCGCTGGTATATCGGACACATCGATTATCCAGCGACACTTGATCGGCACCGGGAACGGTTGGGGGAAGTTCGGGGTCTGAATCACTCCCCTCGGCGTTGTCAACCGGCCGCCGCAGGATGTCGAGGCTTCGATCAGAGTCAAGCGAAGGAGAAAGGGGAGAGCGATCGCGGAATACCTCATCTTTGCTGTGGACAATTTTTTTATCGATTTTCTTCTCTTCTCTCCGTTATCGAAGATACATATATATATATATATACATGCATGCATGCACATTTGCTGAAAATGTATCCCACAGATTATTCGTAGGAAGATATATAGTAATAAGAAGACATATCGTGGTTGGTGTCGCATACTTACATCGGGACTCCCCTCACCAGTACTCAAAATTCTGTATCCGTTCCTCGTTCGTCGCACGGCAACACGTCGTTTCCACGATGGAACGATGAAAAATCACGGATGGCGAATCAAAGAAAGGGTATTGTCCGCTGCCGCCTGGAAATTCGTGAGGAGGCATGGTATATCAATTTGTTTCACCACCGCACGAAGAAAACAATCCGAAGAGAGTTTCTTTGAGAGAAACGTTAAAATACGCTGATCATCTCGATCGATCTTGAGGATGATTAACAGTTGGAAGGGGGGTGGGGGATGTTATCGCGAACGTAGGGAGCCGCGATCTGTCGGGCAGCTGGGCGTCAGCCACCCCCACTGATCACCACCACGCGCACCCTCGGTGCTTCCCTCGCATCCCATTCGTCTTCTCGCAGGCTGACAAGATGCCGGCACAGCACAGTGGAGAGGAGTTCGAAACGCAACGCGTCCCATATATTAATTATTTGGAATCGTGGAAAAGGGCGTAGTAGTTGGGGGACTCTGTGTTCTCAATGTTTCCTCCGAGGCTTGAATTGTCAGGAGGTTGGAGAGATTTTTCGCTGGGGAAAGAAAAAGATTGCGACAGGATTATACGTAGAATATTAACGTATATAAAGTATTTGTATTGATCACACCGTGCTTGAAACGATATTTAATTCTGTGCGCTCTGTTCTGTGTGGAGAAATGTATGATGAATGTACCTCTGAACAATGAGATGATTAGAATGGTGTTGATAAAAGATAAGAGTGGAACAATTGTAACAGTCAATCGTTTTAAAAGGCGATCCGATCTTCTTCCCACGTGTATCGTGCGTTCTCTTCCCTGCTCGGGGGAATTTGTTGTGTGAAAGGTTCTGGATTAAGAAAAAGAATAAATATAAAATAAAATAAAATAACGTCAGTAATTATTTCATGTAAATTATTACATAATATTAAGTTTTGTATGGACGCGCGGATGCGTGTAAATATACATTGCATTTATTTTATTCATTTATTTATTTAAATTAGAGTATTATGACTTGGGTGTGTGTAATTTTTTTTCTTTTTTTTTTTTTACTTATATTACAGCTTACGATTATAATTTAGGTACAATTTTGATGAAAAAGGCAATGGTAACTCTTGTATTTTCTCTCTCATATAAGTAGAAAAGGCATCGCTATTCACGTAACGAGCGATTATTACTTCTTGGTCGCGGGAAACATCGGACTGATCCACGTCCATCGCGTTCGTGGTGTCCTGGGAATCGACGGGTTTCGAGTCCGATTGGCTGGTATTCGATCTAGGACTGCTGTCCTCGTTGCTTGAATTTACATCCTCCACGATACCGCTGTCCGTCTTCTCTCGTTTCGCCATTTTTTTACGCTGAACAGGAACAGCGTCATCCTGTTCCGTCTCGCTGTCGCTTTCGCTTATATTTAACAACGTTTCAGTATGCTTGAGTAAGTTCAAGTAAGTCTCGCTCACGTTGTTAAAATTTTGTACTTCGGATTTATTTTGAGATTTTTCTTCCTCCGTCGGATTCGAAGTGGTCTGCTCATCTCCGTTGTTCTCCTCTGTCCGTGAAACAGATTTGTTTGTCGTGGAGTTTTCAGAATTCTGATTGTACCAGTCAACGTTACCGTTGTTATTCACCACTTGCCAATTTTGATTCTCGTTCATATTGCATAATACGACAGCCCGTACTTGAGAAGTTGTATACAAATCTCTAGGATCAGCGTCTACGCTGAGCAATACGCATACCCTTCTTGTAAATTCATCGTCTTCGTCTGACACTGATTCATCCGACACCGATCCATCCGATTCTCCCAACACGGGAATCACAAATCTTGTTAACGTTTGCTGGGGAGAATTAAATCTTCGTCGTTCCACCAATATTACTTTTTCCGTTTCCAGATCTTCGTGCTCTTTCCATACATTTAATCGCAGGCAACGTCTAATTTTACCTCTGCACAGTTCTTGTAAAGATAACGGCACGCATTCGGCTGCAATAAATATATTAGTAAGTTGGTGATATAACTAAATATAATTTACAAATATTTTTAATTCTTTTCTTTTTCTTTTTCTTTTATCTTAAAAAGATTATATCAAAATACGTACGTAAATGAAATAAAGTTTGCTCGGTTGTAGTAGGTACAACTAACGTTGCAAATGATACGGGAAGCATTTTAAAGTGTAACCAAGTATCCTCGTCTATTCTGAGTACACGCAACAAATGATCTTTGAATGGCATCACGAGAATACCTCCAATACATACAAATTGTTTAATAAATCCTTCGTAATTTTCAGGACATGCTGCACCGCAATATACTCTGTCGTATTGTCTACCAGGTGCAACATTCAGACAATTCCCTGCCAAATGTACAGTTATATGACTCTTTCTTGTTCTCACAGGAGTCACATGTAAATAAATTCTTTATGTATCACCTTGTATAAAAACTGGTTCACAAAAATCAAATTCATCCAGTGCTAATGACTTCTGTTTAAATTCTTCAAGTCGCTCGTACGCGTATTCTAAACAATCTTCGTGCAACTCAATGCCATGATTTGTTCCATGTTGGTCTAAGAAAGGCATAAAGATATCACGAATATTCTATACCGATCTAGTAAAGCAGCAGTGTTCTTACTCAATATGAGTCCTGCCATTGTACTGAGATAACCAGTTCCAGACCCAAGATTTAAAAAGCTCAATCCTGGTTCCAATGAAAGACTTTCCATCACCTCACTATATATGCACGGTGCGGATAAATGAATGTTGCCATGTTTCCAGGCAAGATCATTATAAGCTCTATCTCTGTGAGATGGTAAAACATAATCTGCTCTATCAACTGCTCTAAAAACTTGTTCTACTTTTCTTGTTCTTATATATCCAGATTTCATTAAGTTATCAACTAATTCATCATTGTTTTGCCCACTGCTTACAGCTGCCCCCATTATTAAAAATTTACTAAAGATCTCTGCAACAAGATTGATACGTACATTTTAATTAAATATTTTTTTGTGATTCTATAATGTTATATTTAAAATAAAATATAAAATTGAACATATATATATATATATGAAAAAATAATATTTAATATATCTATTAAATATAATATATTATTATATTTGCTGTTACTATAATATATATATATATATATAGTTATATATAATTATTATTTTATTATTATAGTTATCGTTATAATATAATATATCTGAAAACAGATATAATAATCATCATTTTGTATAGTTTGAAAAATAACTTACCAAGTTAAAATATAATATACTAATTACAATTATCAAAATTATCAATTGTAAAAATACAAAAAAAATAATAATTTATTAAAATATATTTCATCCAATAAGAGTAAAAAATTCGGATTAATAACATTAACATATTTCATTTTGTTATTAATACAATAGCAAATAGCTAATTTTATACGTCAAAATATAACATGATATGATCATATACGTCAAAGTGCGTCTCACATACATACAAAATCGGATAAAGTATGTATATTTAAATTTTTTGCAACAAATTCGTAAAATAAATTAATTGAATTAAATATTTGTATATATAAAAGTTTTAAAGAAATTTGTATGGAATTTTTTGCAGCGTTCTCATTAAAACGTTCCCTTACCAGATGAAAACACTATGCTCAATGACAGTGAATAATGGAGTCGATGTTAAGTCGGAAAAAAACTTTCAGCTTCGAGTTAGTTTATTATAATGCACACAATATCACGCATCGTAACATGACATTTTGCAACAAGAGACGAGATTTACTGCTATGATGTCTTCTGTTTTGATAAGTATACAAGGGTCCATCAAGTCCATCAGCTGATAGCACAAAACACGAGAATTGTCTTTACGCCATTGTCCGTCACCGATCTTTTTACGGCAAGTTAAACGATACACAACAAATTTCACGGAGAAAAACCTGATTTACTATGACAATCATCTTGTTTTTTATTTATCTTTCAAAATTTTTTTTTCTCAATCACAAAGTATTTTTCTATTTTCTTTTTTTTTTACCTTTTCTCTTGAAACGCGTATGCGTATTAATCGGCCTTTTCGAAGCATACGACAGTGCCGTCCCCACGAATGGAGCCCCTTACGTGACAACCATCCCTCCTTTTGCCATCCTTGCTACAAGACAAAGAGGGTTTAGAGAGAGAGTGACATTTCTGATGTTATTTCTCTCTTCTTTTAACTTGCTTTTAAAACAGAAAACAATTCGCGGGAAGTATTTGTATTGTGTGCGCGGGTGTAGTATAACATTGGTTAGCGTCTTTGTACCATGGTAACGAAACTGAAATGGAAAAAGACTCTCCAAGCTCCGGAGCTTAGCTTGGACAGCACTGGCCAACAAAATCGAGCGCAAGCGTTTACATATGTATATTTTGACATATGTTTTTCAAATCTAAATATATATATATTATGTTTCTCAAAAATATATATACATATACATATATATACATATATATATATTATATATATAATATATATATATATATATGTATATATATTTATATTTATATATATTTATTTATTTATAATTATATAATTTCAAAGCTTAATTTAAATGTTTTGTAATTAATGTTTCTGCATATCAATTATACATGTCAAATAAATTAACAAAAGATTTATTGTAGCAAGTAATCGTATATTAATATGTATACACATCGCGTAGAAATTATTCATTATTGCATTATGAAAATATGCAAAATATGTTTCAATATATAAATGTTTCAATATATATAATAATTCTATTAAATTTTATTAAATTTGTTATACATTATTTTTTTTTTATTTCAATATTGAAAAATAATATTTAATTTTAATTATATATAATTAAGAAAATAAATTAATTTTCTATTATTATGATTAATATAAGAAATTTAATTTTTTTAAAATTATTTTTCAAAATTGAAAAAGAATATCAATTTTTTATTATGATTTTTATATCAAAATAAATGAAAAATAATAACTACTATCATTTGATACTTTTTATATTAAATATGTTATATGTGAATCATATTTTTTTTGTAAAAATTATATCTGTGAAGTAATCTCACTATTATAATTGAAAAATAATAATAACAATATATAACCGATAAATGAAAATTTTCATTATATGTTATTAAATGCATATTTCTAAGTAGTTAAGAATTTTTACCTTATTTTATTTTATACGTACCAATGTGAATGAGTCTTTTTACAGCAGAAGCAACATGGGTCGATGCGCATGCGCACTTAGAATGATACCGTCTCTTCGCATATGATGGCGACTGACAACTTTAAAACGTGAGTTTATTATCATATAATTTCTTATGTTTACAATGTGTTGTTCGCGTGTAAAATATAACAGTGCTATCATTAAATATTCAGATGTTTGTTAGTCAGGTAATTTTTTTTCACGATTATTGTTTAATAGATTATATCCTTAAAATTACCGCTCATAATTCGTTAGACCAACATTCACTTATCCTAGTAAGTATACCTATAAAGCTTTCCGTAACTTCTTGCATTAGTGTACTTGAAAAAAGTTGTAAAGTATTTATGAATGAATGTAACATATATAAACTTTTTAGTACATATTAATATAATTTTCACAATAATATTTATTTATATTCTTTTTCAATTTATCTCATATAGAAACATACTTAAAATATTGTGACTTTGGTGCTTTGATAATGATTGTATCTACATATTCATAACGATCAATTAATACTGGTAAAGTAAATATAATGAATTAAATATTTTCTTTCTAGCTTTGAAAACTTTTTAATAACCTTGATACATTAAATATTTTATATTTTATTGAACTATATTTTATTGTTGTTTTTTTATAAAATAACTTGTATATTCATAATTTTTAATTAAAAATTTGTTTTTATTTAGGATCATCTAGTTTATATTATCTTTTATAAATTTAAAAAATATTTGTAAATTATAGTTATGTCGTATTGTTATCGTTATTATTAATTTATATCAAAAATTTATAAATTATTAAAATTTTAATAAAATTTTAATAACAATTGTTTATTACTGATTTTTATCCCTTTCGAATATAAATTTATCACATTCAATATATTATAATTATAATTTAATAATAATTATAAGTTTATATTTTATGTGAAGCGATAATTCGAGCGAATATATCGAGCATTAAAAATATAAACTCTTATATTTTAGAGGTTAATGTAGAAGTATATCGAAATAGAAACTTAAGCATTTGTTTAATATGCAAATTGGATTTATCAATTAGAATTTTCTATTAATCAATACAAATAATATTTATATATATAGCATAATGGAAAATATTGATCGTTAAACTTAATAATTTTATCAACAGTTCGTCAAAATTGCTGTTTCAAAGACAGAATCCTTTTCCCGATTACACGTATTGCTCGTTTAACCAATCCAAATACGATAACAATACGACGTCACTTGAATACCGGCTGCCATTGGTTAAAAGCAAGAACTATAAAAATAAAATAATAAAATTTAACATATCTATACTTGAAACAGACCTAAATCAAATATGTTTCAAATTGCAAATTTTTGTTAAATTATTAATATATTAATAAATTTAAATTTTCAAAATTCAATATAATTGTCTATTAAATAACAATAAATATGTGACTTAGTTTTTTTTTAAAAAAAAATATTAATTTAGTTCGCATTGATTAGCAACATGTATATTACTCGTACTTTTTTTTTTAACAATATTTGCGCGGGAAATTCATTAAAGAGTAAAACAATAAAAATATATTATCAATACACTAGATTAGATTAAAACATTTTTTATACGTCATATGTACATATCGATCAACTGAGCATGATCCTTGAATGATTTCAAAATTACTCGCTGTCGGGAAAAATCTGTACATCCTATGCGGTTAATAGTGCACTGAGAACGTTACGATTGGTCGAAGTTGTGAACTTGTTCTTTAGTTTAATAGCGATTAACCAATAGCGAGCGGCCTGTTGCGCCGTCGCTACTACAGTTAGAGCCTATGAGGACGTAGCTGTAGCGTACGGAGAACGAAGGCTCGAACGCTTAAAAGATATGTGAAAATAATTGCTTAAAATTCCGTGGAATTCAATTTGGTTTGTTCTTCATTTATACTGTATTAATTATTTACACTATCTTAAGAATTCTGGTAGAAGTGATCAATTTTACATAGTTTAATCTGTTCTCCGTTCCAGTGTGAAAAGTGTGCGTGCGCGTTGTATTCTTCGAGTGATTTGTGATGCGCGACTGATGATTTGTAAAAGTATTAGAATAAAAATATCTGTGCTGTAACTCTTGAAAGTAATAGTTTCTTGAGATTTTTGGTATTTCATAGAATATATAGAATAAATTCTTATTCAGCCGATAGGTTTAAAAGCGTGAAAAATAATAACGTAACTTCACTCAATGATATTAATTCGGCGCGTGTTTCAAATCGTGTTGGCAATTCTCTTAACGCCCAGTTATGGCTATCTGTGAAATCACGACAAAAGTAACCGAACTTTGCATATTAGTTTCATTTAGTTTATTTCATTAAATTTTTTTCATCGTGTATATAAAAGTCGCAATTATTCATGAATTATGTAACTAGTAACAATTCTATTATTCACTTGGTAATAGAAGATATTGTATATTGTTAGGTTTGTAAAATTATGAAGTTATTTTTTTTTTTTTTTTTGTCTATTTCTTTTACATAAAAATCTTTGATATAATATTTTTTATTTTTTTCCTCGTTTTCATTTTATAGTAAATTTTAAAAATTAATTTTCTAAATATATATAAAATTTAAGTCAGTAAATTGTTTTTATCTTTTAATATTCTAGTCACATTATTTGTATTGTTTTGTGATATAATTTAAAAAAAATAAGATTTTATGAAAGTATGACAATGGTTTATGTTTTTAAATCTTTTTGTAACAATTTATTGTTAAATAAGAAAAATAAGTTTCTTTAGATATCTAAAAAATATGATGCATTACGTTTTCTTGACAGAATGGAAGAAGAAATAGTAGTAGATGATGTAGATGAGAACAGTAGCACGGAGACTCCACAATCAGATGATCCAACAACACCCGTTATGCCTTTATTATATATTCAACAAAGTAAATTACGTTCAGTACCACCAACAACCACAAATCAGACTTTGGTTTCACCTAATGCTACTCAATTGGCTGCTATTATCAATCCAGTTAATAATCAGGTAAATTAAAATTTTTATCTTATATAAGATAGTTTGAATATTTAAGCAAATTATTTTTTCCTATATATAATATAATAGTTCTGAAAATTTCTAATAAAATTTAAAAAAGATTATTAATATTCATAATTTGATTCTTATATAAGTAGATTAATATATTGTACTATATAGTACAATAAACTACACAATTGTAATATATAGGTCAGAGTAACCTATAATTATATAAAATGATCCAATAATTTAAATATATATTAACTATATTTTCACTATATTACATATGCATTAATATGGAGAATATGCATGTGAAATTCTATTAAATTCCATGTATAGGTCATAGTAATGAATGATATATATCTTTATAGTAAATATAGATTTGTTCTCAATATATCTGTTGTAGTGAATAATAAGTAGGAAAATATAGATTATATTAAATATTATTTTTATATTCAATATTTCTATGATAGTATTAAAAGTTTTTTAAAAAACATACAATATAAAGAATTTGAATTACATTAAATTACATGATATTGAATTATCAAATGATTTTTATGATTAAATTAATTGTGTTATGATTAAATCAATTTCATTCAACTAATTTATTTGGAATTTTATGAATTAATTCAGTGTCAATATTATCAATGAATTGTTTATTTCATTTTTTAGATTGTCACTGGACAGAATAAAGTATTTATACAAGGACCAAGTCAGGTTACTACTTCTCAAAGTAAACAACATATTGTAATTCATCGGCCAATTAATACTGTCAGTACCACAACAACTTCACAAGGTCAGAAACATATATTACTTAGAAAGTCCAACACATCTACTGCTCAGATTGTGCCCTTAAGTACTTCTCAGGGAAATCAAGCCAATGCACAAGCAGGCAAGCATACGTTTGCATATCTCGGGACTCTCATTAAACCAAATAAATCACGTGAATCTGTTGTTATTCCAGCAGGTGATTAATTCTTAAATTTTTTTTATATTATATAATAATGATTATAAAAGATATTTTTTATTAATATAATTTTAATTTTTTAATATACTTTATTAGGAGCTTTGACTACAACTCAAATAACCAAACCAAAATTAGTAATAGCACCAGTTATATCACAATTAGCTCAAACTTCAACAAGCACTACTACAGGATCTCAAAGTCAACCTCCAAAACATATGGCGAATTTATTATTACCAGTCAGTATTCCCCCACAAAATGTACCTCCTAAATCCAGTATGTTTAATTTAAAAATTAATAATGGCCAAATTAATACTGATAGTAAAGGAACTATTACTGGTAAGTATATTTGAAAGTATATTTAATTGCATTGTTAAATTTGAACAAATTATTGATCTTATTTTATATCACAGTGCTGCGAGAGTCAAAAACTACAAATTCAGCTACTCATCCACCACCTTTGCATCCTATTACAAAAATGAGTTTATTAAATGCAAATAAAGGAAATAATAATTCAACAGATAGTATAAAAATTACAGAAAATCCAGATTCTGCTGTTATTACTCCCATTCCAAAAAAGGATGATACTGGTATACCTGAAAAACGGAAAAAGACGATAAGCAATATATTAAGAGGATCGAGTGAAAAACGAATGAAGAAACAAAATCTTTCAAAATCTCCTCAAGATAGTATAGTTGATGTAAGCTATGCACTAAGTAGTCCAGAATCAGAACAAGATAAGGATAAAAAAGTGCAAAATGATGATGATATTACTTTGATTAAAGTAGTTCCTAGTGAAGATAAAACTATGAAACTTACTAATACTAACATGGATGATGATATAAAAATTGAGATTATTAAAACGCGCACAAGTTGTGGTATTGAGTCAATAACAGACAATAAAAATGATTCTAAGATTAATATAAATAACCACGAAGATTTGAAAGATCATTTAAATACAACACATGCGAATGATTCGAATTTTGATGCAACAAAAGTTTTAGATTGGAAAGATGGTGTTGGAACTCTTCCTGGAAGTACATTAAAGGTATGACAATGTAATGTTAGAAAGTTAATTTGTGACTAATGTTATAGTTTAAAATAGCGAATGTATTCCATAGTTTTGTATGAATGAATTTGGTATCATGGAAGTAGTAGATGAAGACGAAAATAGCAAGCAAAGTAAAGATTGCATTGGTGACAAAGAAAATGTTTGTTCGACTCAGAATTCTTCTAAATCTAGCCCTGTAACTGTTAATAATATAAACACAGAGAAGAAATGTAAGTATTAAATTATGATTTTTTTCAGAGAGAAACAAAATTTTTTTTTAAATAACTAAATTTATTTTTTTAGCTGATGATAGGAAATCTAGGACTGTTTCGGCGGATACAATGTATCATTGTGAAGGCTGTGGATGTTATGGATTAGCTGCAGAATTTGAAAGTCCAATATCATGTGGTCCAACATGTACAGAAATAATAGAAGCCAAAAAAACAACCTATTTTACGGAAGGAAAAAGATTTAAAGTATGTAATTTAATTTTTAAAAAATATAATTAAATTTTAAAATTTTCAAAAAATTATATTTTTTAACTAAATATACATTTAAATTT